TTGCACAGCCAATACATTTGTGTAACAGGGCTTGACGTTAACCTTAAACTTATTCAAATACTATGGTGCCTATATATTTACTATATATAATCTGTTAAGACAAGTGAGCTAATTAATCAGTTGTCCGAATAGCAATTTTACTTGTCCTGGGCATAGAACTACCCTATGCATCGATCCCTGTGTAATAGAAATTTAAATATAATTTTTGCCAGGATTTTAGAAACAATTTCTGCACTGGTGAGTTTTTTTGCAGGACGCGGTAATTTGAATCCTGTTGTAACCAAAATACACAGCACCGACATGCACGACAGTGTTTGTATAAGCCGAAGTACTTGGCAATATTTGTCCAAGGTAATGGTAGCCTAGTTCCTAGGTAGCATATGACAGTATTTCTACACATAAGCAACTACAACATCAGTTATACTATAGCTACAGCCATGAGGTCAAGACTTACAATGATATTTACATAATAATAGGTTGAATTGCGCGATACTGGTTTATGTATCACAGTTCATATCATAGAGTGTCACAAGGCAAGCATTATGCAGCTGTGTTTACGGCCCTTTATTGACCTAACTAGCAACGGAAATGTAAATGAGAGATTAAATTAGAAGTCTGACGAAAAGTTACAGAAACGACAATTGTTGAATGACTAGAATTCATGATGAACGCTCATCTACCGACAGTAACACCAACATACACGCAAATAAATGAGAATTCAGATATTTATAAAGGTTGTGTTACAATACATAAAATCGTTAAATTTATGCTGCTGGAAATAAATTAATTACACGGGTTGTGGACCCAGGCGAAATATTTACTGCAAATTTTCCTGAGCTCCTGAGAATTCAAAAAAATGTTTTTCTCGCAGAATTAAAATGCTTTACAGTATCAACTAATCTGCCATGCCAGACTCGCATCATAAACATGAATGAACGTCATCAAAAATGGTATTTTTAAATTATCAAGTCGACAGTTGTTTCTTGGATATACATGAACGAAACCCAATCTATTACAAATTATTCTATTTTCAATATTAAACTGTCTGTAGCATTTCCTTCTGCATTTCACGTCTCATTACACTTCTATTAAAACTATTTATATTCTGCTTTCTTCACATCAATTCAGCTAAATTATTTCACTATTCAAATATCCCCGTCCATGCAGTGACACTGCTTTTAGATATCCTGGGTTGATAAACTGTGCATTCATAGTCATTTGATAAATACCTTTGAAGCTAACCGACTAACCACTGGGCAGAATTAATACTAATGTGAATCTAACTGTACATGCATTGTTACTATGCTGATTATTCAGACGTTTATAATGGTTCCCAATCACTTACTCTATTTAAAATATACAGCTGTAGATTTTCCCTTAAATCGTTGTAGGCTATCAACTTTAGAAAGTTTTGAAGTATAATGCAAGTTACTAAGGGGCAGGAACGACATAAGGGACAGTTGTTGACATTAAAAACAAAATTATAAATTGTAAGGTTATTATAAGGACAATGTTAGGGACTACGAAGCATTCATACGAAGTGTTAGTATTTGTCATTTAGGGTTGTGGCTACACAATTCCAACTATATCAATGGCAAAACATTAAGACACAATTCATGATATTCACAATACAAGGACCTAAACGATTTTCAACATGTCCGTGTGAATAAGACCAAGCACACACACAGATCAGCACCTTTCAGACTGACATGTTCACATTATTTGGTGATAGCAACAGTATAGAACTCAGGAACCACTCTCATAAAATATTCCTCCCAGAGCATTCAGTTTCGAACCTATAATGTCACATCCGTATCAAAGGTGGAACTGATATCTAAATCAAAATCAATAATTTACTATCGGGTTATCAGTCATGATGTCAACAATACGAATATGCAACATGACTCAACATTCTAGTTTAAACCAGAAATTAAATTGACAAGTATATGTAAAATAAGTAAATCCACATTTTTACATATTTGCACTGCATTGCTAAAAGAGGAAGGGAGTGTCAAGTCCCACCGCTGTGTGTCCTTCATAACAACTAATAAATAGCAGTCCAATGTCATGTAAATATAAACATCCATAGTCAACTAGTATCAGATCTAAAGAATTTTAGAATTTCACATCACCTGTATCTTTTTAACAAGTTGTAAATATCCTTGTTACAGAAAACCAAGTAAATGTTGATATCAAAACTGAAGGTTATGTTGATGTTTACAGTCTTACACTCAAATATGCCAGCAAAGTATGCTGTTACTAAGGAGCACAATTTTATCTGAAAGTCTTAAAACAATGCACTGACTACATTATTACAGACTACAATATCTTATAATTAAACTTTCAAACTTGTTATCACACTTGTTATGCTACATACCAAGGCAGTGTTCTGATAATTCAAAATATTTGTATATAATTGAAAGCTGTCAGTTAGGATAGTTAATAATAGGAGATTGCAATGATAAGTAACTAATTAAATCTCATTATACATGGAATTCAGTATGTGTATTATCAATATCAATTACAGACTAGCTTGAATTTCCTTTGCAATTAAAATACCCGATTGTGCTTAAAAAAGTATGAACTGTGAAGCATTCATACACTTATGCATGAATAACCTACTGTTTCATTGGAAACATACATTAGAAATTGTAATTTTGAAGAATTTGTTAATTATAGTCAAATAAATACTATTATCATCCCATTCAATGCGATGGTTCTATTATTTTTCAGCTGTGTGAGATTGTAGTATGAACAAATTGAACAACATTCAAAGAACTGATTCTCGTGTAAAACAGCAGAGGGGTTTGTTGGGTCCAAGGGATTACCTTCACAATATTAATTAACTATTTCCTAAGTAATACATTAAAAGAATTAATCTTTTTAAAACATGAACAATGTAGATACTAAAATACTGTCAAGTTCCACTAAGATAACTTACAATCAGCAAAAAATGTTGATCTGTTGTAGCTGCCAAAATTCCCACGATCACAGGTACGTATTAGGGAAAGGATGTTAGTACTACACTTAGCAGTTAAGATTCACCAAATTGATTCCCAATATTTATACATTATAGTGTGTTTAAGGTACCTAAGGGGAGAGGTGCAAAGATCGAAAGAAAAGAACAAAAACAAAAAGGAAAAATATTTAAATGGCTTTAGAACTATAAACACCACTAAAAAATAGCAAGAACAACGAAGGTGGTCTTGGTACCAAAAACAACATGCACAATATTAATAAAAACACATTTATGTTGACAAAACTACATATATAAAAAAATATATATTAAATAAATAACACAGATGCATGGCATGAATGTTTGCATCATATAAATGACTTCTTTTGATATTCTTATTTTTACTGGAGATTCGTCGGAGTAAAAAGGTCAAACCAACCAAACCATCTCTTTAAAAAGGTCAGAAGACAATCATTAATTTTCATGCAGTTACATTAATTGAAAATAGATCTGCATGTACAATGTCAATTTCATGGCACACATGACCGGGTTAGTTTTAGTTTTGGAGGGTATATGAACTTATTGTTGAATGTTGCAGTCAAATATTACTTAGTGTTGATGTATTTACAGGCTTGTAAATCACTGCAAAGTATTCATGAATAGTATACTTACAAGGTATTGTGACTATTTGGGTATATGATGTACTAGATCCCATATCGTTTGTAGCTGTACATGTAATCTCTTCTTTGCCATCATCTCCAGTATCTGTAAGTTCCCATGTGTTCTCAGATGTAGTACCAAACTGTCCACCCTCAGCTTCCCATTCATATTGATACGAGTCTGGATTTGCTGTATCTACACATTCCACATTTATCACACCACCATCACTCCATGAAATAACTCCAATTCCAGAGATTATCGGTATATCTGAAAATGAACAAAAGCCATGTCAAAAATCCATACCATATTTGCTCTATTAGAAGTACACATTAATTATATGCTGGATCATAAAAATATGACTTATTTGGATCATCAATAGACATCTAGCATTTATAAAGACACACTACTAATAGAGTGACAGAATAGAATAGAATTCTAATAGAAACACAAGCAAGTACAAAATTAGCTCATAGTTTTCTTACTATATTACACCTCACATAAATATATCTCAGTTATACAACTAAAATAAACATTGACGCCCTGACCGAGAGTCATTGCATGAGGAGTCCATATTGTTTGGTTGATTTCCCTAGCAATGATTATATTTGTTATGCAGAGTGTATTATCACTAATTAGCAGAGAGTGAAATATTCAATCAGCAACTGGTCTAATTAAGATAGGAATGTGGAGAGAGGTGGTCGGTGGTCAGGTCTCTACAGAAAGGTTCAGCATTACACAGGTTCAGCATTAGAAATCTATCAGTGCACCCCATTTTGTATTTTTTCTCATCAATCTACTGACATCAGATGTTACTTACGTTTTACATTCATGTAAACACGAGCACTTCTAACTGTTAAGTCTTCATGTTGAAATCCTTGGCATTTCAAAGCCTCTCCATTATTTGTTGCATTGAATGTATAATTCAAAACACTCATACTGTTATGTAGTTTGTATTATTATCGCTGACTTGTGTTGTATATGTACTGTATTCTGTGATATCTTTACCACCTATTGTCCATGTTAACTCAGCTGCTGGGTT